TTTTTTTTTTTTTTTTTTTTTTTTTGCTTTTTTTTAAATATAAAAAAAACTTTATCTTTCGAGTATCAGTGTATGTTGTCTGTTTGTGTTACTGTTATATTTGTTAACTTTTCCGAAATTGTGTGTTGCTTATGTTTATTATGTTGCGGTTTCAGCAGAAAAAAAGAAAAAAAAGAAGGAAAAAACAAATTTCTCAAATAGGTTTCTAACAGAAATATTTTTGTGATGCCAGAGCAAGGTTACAGAGATTTTGAATGTTGTGTGACATTGCGTTTTTCGCATTGAAGATATCATTTGGTGAGGTTAGTTTGTCAGTTTTTCCTAGTTTTTAGTTTTTACTTTTCTTGTTTTGATACATTTCACCTTTAACCAAGATTTAGATAGTTTGTTTTTGCAGCTTGACAAGGGTCCAAATTTGCAGTAGAGTTTCCTGGATTGAAAGTGTTGCCAAAATCTATCATTTCTTGTTGTGGGGTCATATCATTAATATTTTATCTTTTTACTTTTTTTTTTTTTAAATTTAGGTTTTTAAAACTTAGGAGCAAATTTTTAGGATGTAGCATTTTAATTGAGTTTTCTTCTTATATTTAGCTTTTTGTTTTATTTTGCTGTCGTTGCTACTCTTGCTACTGAGTTAGGGTTGGTTGTCGAGGAGGTCTACCTTCTTTTTCTAAAATCTAGTTCTCATCATTGTTGTAATAATGTTTTATTTGAGACAAAGTGTTTTTCATTTTTCTACTGTGTTTTCGTCCTAAAAAAATTTTTTTGTTAGCGTCTGAAAAAAGTGTAAAGATGTTCTGAAGTAAGGAGCTTTTTTTAAAATTTACACTGATTAGATTGAAAATTAGATGGTTATAGCTGCAGTTTAATTTTCTTGATATCAACAGAAGTAATTTATTTATTTATTTTTTGCTTAGGAAGTCTACTTTTGCCTTTTGCCTTTTTTTTTTTGTAAGTGCGAAATATGGATCCAGTCACAGGAGTATGTTATCACTTTTTCTCGTGTATTTAATGTTAGGTTTTGTTGTGAATCTGCAACAGAAACTGCTGTAGGGGATAATACGAGATGTCTATTGGTAATATTTTGGCTTTTGTGGGTAGTGATAGGCAAACCTGAGGCCAAATTTAAGTCAGGTTTAGGACGGCGATCGCTGTGATTTCAGCTGTTGCTTTATTATTGTTATTTTCATTTTTTTTTTTTTTTTTTAATTTTTGGATTGAGGTTTTAAGCACAATTGTTTAAATGACCTTTTATTGGTATGGTGCTTTTTTTTCCCTGTAATCACGCTACCCTTTATTTTTTTTTCTAATCGCCT